GCAAACCAAAGGACGAAACGGCAAAAGAAGACAAATCAAATATCATCTACAAAATAAACTGCAAGAGAACACTACATCGGACAAAGCGGACGCCCGCTCCATCTTCTCCTGCATGAACATCAATTAGCAGTCAAACGCCATAACATTTCCTCACTTATATCAATGAACGTGGACAACTGCGGACATATATTTGACTGGAAAAATGTATAGATCTTGGATAGAGGCAATTCCAAAAACACCAGAGAATTTTTAGAAGCTTGGCACTTAGGTCAATCAGCGATCAACAAGCACATTGAAATCGATCCAGTTTATCAACCATTCAGGAAAATTATGTACAAACATAGGAACAAAAATCAAACCAGTGGGAGATACAACCAAAACAAAGTAGACAGGTTTAAGGTCAACAAGAACCAATCAACATTGAGATGTACAAGACATGCTGTGAACCACATGTGGAGAAATTCGAACACTTCACTTCTACCTGAAGTTTGTGCTGATGATGTCGTTCAGAAGAACAATGGAAGCTCCACGACTAAACCATCCAGCTCAGATAACAAAACTCCATCAAAAATATTGAGGAGTGATTGCACCGAATCAACTCTGACTTCAAGATATTGTGGACGCCATAAGTTCTGAAGATCATAATTTCAATCAATAATAAACTTTTGGATATTAATTGACATCAGGTTACGAAATACAATGAAATAACTCTCCGGTGTTCTTTGAAGTCCGGTAGCTCGCTAAACAATGTTAGATTTTGATTAAAACTTATTTTAAACAGCAGATATATAAATAACATGTGTTACTGTGAATTGCAAGAAAAATTTATTCCTGTATTAAAATTTTTAACAGACTCAATTACAGTTCTCTGCTTTTATAGAGTAAATTAAATATTACCGGAATCATAGATTATACGTTTATATATCATTTTATTTATTTATAAAGTGTCTACTAAACATTCTAAGGCTTTTGAATAGACTAGTCATCAGAAAATCATAAGCTTTTATAAGTGTTCAAAGTTAATCTGTTCTCATATGTATTCGAACATAAAAAAGTCTCTTCTCATTTATATTTCAACAGTTATGAGCTCATATTTTATAATCTATCTAGAGGAGGGAAAGATTGGGACAATAGAAATATCATAGTCATTACAAAATAACTCAGCTTTACACATGTAGAGTTGGTTTTCTTAAGAAAATATTCCTTACAGGTTATTAGCAAAAAACTGAAAACATTTATATTTATTTTCTAATGATTTCTGCATATATTCACATAAGGATAAAAAGTAAATCTCAGATTTTGATCTTTTTCCATAGGATGTAGAATTTTTTTGAAGATTACAGTTATATGTTGATAGTTTATGTTACGACCGTAATCTGCCTGCCCACTAGTCTGTAGTTTGATGTACAGAGAGAGAGAGAGAGCTGTTTCGAACTAGTTCACGATCCTGATATACTAGTTTACTTAGTGCAAAATTGAGACTCGTAATACATGAGTTCGACTTATGACTAAAAAGTCATGAAGGTAGGGAAAAAAGAAACCAACGGACAACTTAGCTGGATATCCATATACGATTTATTCCTGATTCAAATAACTCAAAAAAGCTATATGAACAAATAAATGATTAACAGAGCCACAACTCGCAAGAAATGAGGAAAACACATTTATATTCAAACTAGGACATTAGAGTAGACAAAATGGAATACAAGGGTCATATCCAAATCACAGTAATTTGAGGGTAGAAAAGATTATAAAAATAATTCAGTCATTAAATAAAAGCTTACTAATCATAGAATAATTACCTATAATTTTGAGTTTTCGTATGTCAGTTGATTTTGTCCTATTTTTTGTTAGTTCATTCACAGTCATACTAAAAATATCTAATCCACTCGTTTCTATCACAATTTCTGTCTAAAGTATACGGTTTAGTTTTCCTTGGTAAATCTTAATCAGTTTCGAAGCTTCTAGACTGATGTAATCAGTAGCTAACTTTTAAAATGGGATATGTTTTAATGACCTAGTTTGAGCTATCAAGTATCAAGTTTTATTAAAGACTTAAAAGGATACACTCCAAAGTGGACTGGAGAACCAAACTTACCATAAAACAGGTCCTTCATTAATTTTTCATTTTCATAAGCGTAATATCCAATCAAACGCTCTACATTATGTGATAACCAAAAGGTTCTATGTGGTCTCTATACAGAAGAAGTTGTGATCCAACTTTTAGAATTTAACACTTCTGGGCACATAATGTTTATGTTCAAAGTGTTCATCCTGTCCTGATATAAAACACAGAACTATTAAAGCCTCGAGAACACTACACAGCTGTCTCACCTCACTTGGGGCACTTCGGAACCCATATCTGGCCAAACAAAGGGTCTTTAATTCTCATAGTCAGTATAACTGATTTAGATAAATGAGTGACCACCATCCGATAATTGTAGTGACAACCGTGTCATCGTTTGATGAGGACTGGTATTCAGTTGGTTTTCAGTTTATGTTGATTCTGAACAACAGACCCTCAATTTATTGATATGTAGGTGTACATTAAATCCACATACTTGAATTACTTGTATTCTGCTGGATGAAAGTTTACCAGATTCCAGTGACACAAAACTAGTACAGTGAACTATTACATATTAGTTTATACAGACCTAATCAATCTGTTAATTCTTTTGTACAGATAGCAATTATTTCTGAATACTTAGTACCCTTAAAACAACTAAAGAATCGTTGAATCAAAACTCATTCCTTACTAACAGGTCCCAATAAAACAGTTATCTTAAAGTTACATAGAAGAACTATAAGTGATCAAGTCAGTTATATTATGGGTTCATTTGTAGTTGAGAGCTTCTAGGCCTAAATATATGGACAATTTTTCGTGGTTTATGTTGTTTAGTATGATGACATTTGTATGGATTATACCTGACTGTCTTCCAATGCAGCAAACTGAAAAACAACTGACAGAGTAGACAAATTTATAAATGGTTACCCGTGGTAAACAGTTCTAATCCTAAGAGAAAGACGAGTAAACAGGCGAACTTCCATCACCTATGAGCAATATGTGGTGATGGCTTAGTTGCTTAAAAATTCAGTTTGGATAGTAAATTTAGAACCTCTTAAGCCCTTATTAAATTGAACTATAGAATAGCATCACAAATTCCCGTGTAAAATGATCTGACTTAAACTCCTATTCAAATAGGAAATGAATATTTCTTCACTTCACATAACTAGACCATTCAGCTAATAAAAATGTCATAAAAAATGGATGATAAATGCTGTCATTATTTTATATATTCGAGTTGACTGTAAGCCGATACCATCAGCAAAATGAACCACATAAATTGCATGCTTTTCTTGGTAAATTGCATTAGAATACTTGTCAATAATATGACTTTTGTAGTTGATCAATTCTTAAATATTTGTTATATGAAAATAGTTTTCATAATGGAATCATTGGAAAATCAAAGCACGCAAACTTCTGTTTGGTCCATGTTTGGGACTTATCGACAGTACACACCAAAATCCAATATTCGATTAGGATATTTAAGTGTTTGTTTTGTTTTTTTGAGGAGATGAAAGTTTCTGAATATTATTTATTATTGGTTAAAAGCTCTAACTCACCAATTACTGAAATATATTTACTATAGATTGTACCTTTAACTCTTGAACTTCCAGCTTTTTTGGTTATTACTTTATTTGGATATGAAAATGCTTTCCTAGTTTGACCACATTTTCTCAAATATCGTAAATCCAATAGTACAATGACTAATTTTCGGTAATCATCTACTGAAATGTATTCGAATGAATTGATTGATATGTACATAGCTACATACTCCAATCATATAGCATGCTGTTTATTTTTAAAGGGAGTTGTAAACTATAAAATTAGAAAAGATGATCGAGTCATATTTCATATTGACATTTGAGTAAAGTCACTAACAGGTGGACAAAGTTTACGGAGCACGATTTATTTACTGTATACAATTATTTTCTCCTCAACTATATAAAATTCAATGAGTTTACTTCGTCAATTATACATCACATAATTGTAACTCTTTGTCGGCGGGACATAGATTGGATTAAAGCATGCTTCATGCACAATTGCACACCACTTAGCTAATTCTTATCCAATCAGCGCTAGTCGATACTTGGAAAACACTCTAGAATCTTCTCATGTAAAAACTATTAATATACTAACGTTTTTCTTATTGTGCTTCTTACTTCCATCTAACCTTGTTGTTTGGAATATAATCTCTTTCCTGTTCAACTGTGTTTTGATTTGGGGACTTGTCGAGTGAATTGATGTCCAAGGATACTAAGCAATAGGAATAGCTGAGTTGTAATAAGAGAGAATTATAACGCCTTTCGAATAATTCACTATTCTCTGGTAGACAAGATAATTATTTTATTTCCAATAGTTTCCATCTATTGATATACGTAAAATTTTTGATTCGAACTCATGATCTCAATCAAAAACTTAATAATCTCCACAACCCCTATACTGATAATTAACATGTGCTCACTAGTGACTAGCTTCGTGAGGGAATTCTCGGAGTTCTAGTGAGAAGCCTTGACCAGTGGAGCAAATCGGTGTCGGCTACAGACAGGTATCTACCTCAGTACAGTGGAAGATGGTGGCGCAGTTTAGTGGATTAGTTGATGTTAGACACTAACACCATTGGATGCCGGCTCAGTGGTCTAGTAGGTTAATCGTTCGCGTGCAAGACTGAAGGCGCTGAGTTTGAATCTTGCGGAGTGAGATCGTAGATGCGCACTGCTGAGGAGTCTCCTAATAGAACAAAACGGCCATCCAGTGCTTCCAGGTTTCCAACGGTGGTCTAGCATCAATCAATTCATGATCTCAATCAAAAGAAAAGATGGAATATAATGGATTCATTATACTTTTCAATATAGTGACTTTTAACTGATATTGTATAATAATAATAATAATAATAATAATAATAATAATAATAAACAAAATACTCTTTTTATTTTAGATTATTCAATTGAAGAATTAACTATACAAAATCGACGATTAAATGAATCAAATGAACGATTAGAAAATCGTCTACAATTAATAATACAAACAATAAATGAATTAGATAATCTTTATAATTCTATCAAAAATGATGGTTTCATTAAACGTTATACCACTTTAAAAAATGCCGTAAAACGGATTGTTACAAATAATGATTTATATGATAATCCTTAAATATGAAAATATAACAACTAAGTATTTAGTTTTTCTTTTTTTCACTCACTTGTCTCAAAGCTAATCGTTGTTGTTATTCTTGAAAATACTACTTAAATACTAAGTTCAATTCTGTACAAATTTTACTGTTTCTTTTTTCTTAAACTGATAGTATAAACAAACGAATAGATGGTAACATGTTGATATAGAGTGATGTGATGATATCAAATTTCTCCTTTATGTTGATATATCATTGTACCCAATCAATAATTTTGATTATTTATACTAGTATATCATTATGTAATTGTTTTTTTTTTGTTTTTGATTATTAAATTTATATATTCAGTTATTTAATGAACCATGAATTGTATTACACCTTTAAAATGTGAATTCTTTTTATTCCCTTTAAAGTAAAGCTTGTTTTTTCCATCTGAAAATTAGATTTTCATTTTACTTTGTATGTTAATGTTTTCAAACTACTTATTTATTTATTTATTTATTTATTTTTTCAACAAACTATAATCAATTCATTAACTAATCTAAATATCTATCTGAAGCTACATATCAATGTAAGTTTTTGGCTGTTAAAGCAACGAAAGATGAAAAATATATATTAGATTAGATTAGATATACTGATACTTTCCATTTTAAATTATTCAGTTGTTGAAATTCTTTCAAATTTGTATATAATTTCATCAATAACTATATTGTGGAGTGACTGTGGTGTGAGCTACTTATATCCACATCAGTAGTATATAACAATAGTCAGGCATAGAATGTATTTCAGTGGAAGATCTAGAGGGAAAGAACGAGGACGAAGAGCAGTTGGTATGAAAATGAATGAACAATGAAATCTGAGACAATGGACTGATAGTTGCAGAAAAAACAGTCAAGTTTGAGACGATGAATTGATATTTTACAAATTTACTATTTACTATATGGTCCTCAGATTTTAGTGAGATGTTCTGTAATTTGTGCCAAAACACATTTAGTTGTCCTCACTCGTGTTCTTGTTCACTACAGTGACTACAAATGTGAAGATGGATCGCTGGATTGCCTCCGTGTTACCTGAATTTATCATTATTAAATGTGACAGTTGCTGAACTAACGGTGTGTACTCCCTACACGTCTCAAATCAAACAGAAATAGTCGGGTAATTCCCCCCTGATTTACATAGTTTTTTAACAGATGTCAACAAAGATAAATAATTATCTTTTTACACATAACTCAACTTATTTATCTATCCATCTTTTGACTTATAAATGAATAGAACAATATACTGAGATCAATGTTTGCTTGTTTTATGCATAACATAACTGTTATCTGATCCATTTTATGAGTAATAATTAACAAAAATAGATGAAAATCATCATAGTTACGAAATACACTATTCGTTTTCTTTTTATTTGTTCACATAACAAATAAGTCATAAATTAATCTAAATAAATTTTCTGAATGTAGATTACACTAAGATTTTTTATAACATGTACATTCATTCACATAAGACTGTATTTTTAACAAGAACACATGCTTAGTCAAGACGTCTAATCATTATAATATTCTTGTACAACTTCGTAAAAATATTTCAATAGTAAAACGTTTTTGGTTGAAGTGGTTGACTCATAACAATCTAATTGTATTGTCATCGGCAACTGCCAAAACAATATTATTTTCAAGATTGAGATGAATATAGATGTAAACCGATAGACCGCTGAACAGTAAAACATCACGTATAATCTGGTATTTAGTACAAACCACATTTGTAACATATTCACTAGGTTCAATGATATGATGTTTCAATGAAAATTGTTTGATATTAGGTTGCTAACGCAGACTGATATGTTATCCTGGTTTTAGATTACATACAGGTAATGTCTCAGAAATAGTACGTATTTACAACCTTTTGGAAACTGAATCACCCAGTGACGTCCAGGACTTCGCCACCGTGAACTAGGAATGTTGAGGTCTCTTCAAGTTTAGAGCGTTTGGGCGTTAGCAGATAAAATATCAGGCAGTTCATTTTAGAGTTTTCTTATTATTGGTATATTTTAGTTAAACGACATTAGAGTAACAGTAAATCCCGCTAAAGAATACTATGTGGCTTAAATTTGTTTATATAATTGAAAAGATTACGTATTTATCCCCTTCATATTGATTAAACCTACCAATTACCGATAAGACAGGTAATCATTCTAACATTTACTATTAAATAGAGAGGGTAATTTTTATAACTTATGATAAAGTAACGTTGTCTTTTAAATCAACAAAATGTTATTTTCAGTAACACTGATAGCATACACTTATAACATACTAAAGTAACATACGCACAGCCACAACAGCGATCAAAAGACAAAGGTAATTATGGGGAAATATTGAAGGATTTTTATTTGAAAGTGTTGATTGTATTCAAATTCAAACAAATGAAAGTGATCTGACAGATCAACAGTATTAACACGTAGAATATAAACAGTAGATTTCGAAGTATACTTCAAAATCACTGTTCTCTTTATCTATTAGAAATAAATTATTTGAATAAACTGCTCTCTTGTACATGAAAATATCCAAGGAAATTCTAATATGAGTAGACTAGAAGAACATAAAAGTAGTATAGTTGAAGTTAAACATTTTCCGGTATATCTTTGTGACTATAATAACGATGGCTCGTTAGCCATCTAGTGCTTCGTAGTTTCAGAACTATTATCTTTTCGTTGCAAAAACTACACTCAGATCGAATACTCTTTTCTCAGTATGACTCAGTATATAATATTTTCTAGTTTCGAGAGTGGTTAATAAAAACTAGTTTCAATTTTGTTTGTTAAAAGAATACTTCTGAGTAAATCATGTTATCAGTGACGCAATCCACAATAGGTACACATCTGAAGCACAAGTATTTAAACATTTATGTTAGTAGAACAGTATTGGATTTATCCAATATCATACATACCTTGATACAACAACACAAAATATTCAGCACTGTGACTTGGGAGTAATGAAAAGCAGTGATTAGGCATTAATTTTCTTTATCCAAAAACACTTTCAACTAGCTCTGTCACAATAATGTACAAACTCCGATCCATAAATTTTTAATTAAATGCTTCACACTTGTTGAAACGATTGAAAACAAGAACTATATATATCTATTGCCGTGATATTTTCTCTTGACGTTTGACAGCATTGGGGATCATGAGAGGTTGCATGGATTTTACAGCACCACGTGAGTACAATGTGTTTTATTAATACTACTTGGTAGTCAGAATAAATATAAAACAGGGAAATACTTTAAAATATTTGCAACAGTTTTAAAACAGATACCTAGAGGTTTGATAAAGTTATAGACTCACATATATGTATATGTTCCTAAAATAATTGTTTAAAATTATTTAGTTGATTTATATGCAAAGATGGATAGTGGCTAGCATTGCGATTCCGGACTCACTAGTGAACTGGATAACGCGATGGCGTTTGGAGCGAACGGTACTGAATTCAAGTCTCAGAGTGAACATCAACTCTGAGATGCAGGTACATCCAGCTGACAAGTCCCAAATAGGACGAAACGCACGTCCTGGTTTCCACTGCTAGACACTATCCATCATTGCAAATAATGCTTGTGAGTTAAGGCTATATTGAGGTAATACGCACATTATGCACATATGCCAATAAGAGACTGATCAATTGCAGTCCTAAACATAAATGGGAAGATTCAAACAAACAATACCAAATGCATTTGATTGATTGATCAAAGATTCTATACACAATTTATTCAAAACATTTTATGGCCTTATTAAGGAACCAGAGAAATAAAAAATTCTATATTCTCATAAATTCACACTTTGAATTGAATTTAGGAAAACATGTAGAATTTTATAAACCGCGCAAAAGTTCTTTATATTTGAAGTTCAATATATTTTCATCAGTAGTGTATTCATACAACTTGTACAATGATTATTAATGAATAAAAGATAATCAATAATATCAATATAATATCTATTTCTAAAGTTTTTCCCAGAACTATAAATTGAACCTTTCTAATTAGTGGAAACCTTAAAATCATTTATGCAGAAACGACCTGCCTGTCAACATAATAAACATGAGAAATTTAGAAAAAAAGAGAAAGAAGAAGGATATTCAATCAATGAAATTCATTTCAATAATTATAATAGAATCATATTGTTTGTACAAGTTACATGCTTGTTAAAAGAAGGAAGTAATTTCTGTTTCATTTCTTTTCATAACATAAAGATTTTTTATACAGAGAGAAATAGAGAAAATAATACAGAGAAAAATACTGAATGATAATATTTTTGATGTAAACAGTATACAAGATATAACATTTTGTATCTAGGATATAACAAATGTTTTTTTTAATAATCTATGACAATGGTTGTCAGATAATCTGTAGCGTTAAAATAGAGTTTTGGAATGCTATGGTAGTTTTGAAGGTAAAGTAGTTACATTTATTTCACCTGGAAAATGGTTGAAGTTTTCTAATGACAACGGTTTACTTAAATCTGAAAATGCAATTGAAAATCATTATATGAGATCTACTCTTGGGTATACAACTTGTTTATGTATGAGTTTCTGTTAATGTTCTTTTTTCAGTGTCCTAATTTTTTCGAACCGAAATGAATCCCATGAAAGTGAATCGAGGATTGGTTTTGAGGATATCAATTCAAATTCTTTCAAAAAAATGAAAATTGCTGTAAGATGCTGTCACGTACAATGTAGTTCCAGAACCTCCCCTTAATATTACTCTAGTTTTTATTCCACTATCCTGTTGTCACACAAGCTAACATTCTTTGTTAATCACATTGCCTAAATAATAACTCCTATTAATAATCGAGCCGGTGATTAGTGAGTTAATCAGTCAGTCGAAAGTAAGCTACAACCTGGTCCAAATGTTCACAGATTTAAGTGAATACACTTCATATTAAAACGAAGAAAGATAAAATTTACGAGATAAAAGTCGAAAGCTATCAAAACAATGCTATTAAATAAAAACTAGACATTAAGAATAAAATTACTGAAGGTCAATTTTTATTAAAACATCACAGTTTTAAAATTTCGTGTGACATTAATTATTCATTTTTTCATAAGACAAATGTATCTGTTGCATAAATGATACATTATTTCTCCAGTAATCAGATTAACATTTAAATAACAAACTGACTATTCAAAGTGTTAGTTGCTTCTGGTTTCAATGTGAAGACCGAAGTTGGGATGGAGGTAAATCTAAATGATAAACATTAAACATGATAAAACATGAGTTGTAGATCTCATTTATAGGCACTAGACAAATGTCATATTTCTACTTTTCTTTTCTATA